TAAAATCAAGCCCAAAGGTAAACCAATTGAACACAATTTTCAAATAAACTTCAAGAACAAGATGTACATTTAACATGCATGTGTTCAATTGAATTCAAAGCTACTAACACATGACCAAATGCAAGTTTTAGCTCAAGAACATGATGAATTCATGGACTATAACAAAAATGTGGACATGCATGTAGGAATTCATGAAGAACAACCTCAAAATGCTATGGTATAGACATGTATGCATGAATTCACTCTCAAATTCAACTCTTAAAACCAATTCTTGAATCTAAACACTAATTTACCATGGACCATGCAAGATACAACTCAAATTCACAATGAGGAAGGTGAAATCTCTACCTTAGGTCTTCAATTCAAGGTATACAAGCTCAATTATGCAATCTCTCTTCAATTTCTTCTAGTTCCCAAGCTAAATTTGATGAACTCAAGTTTTCTCTTAACTCTTTCAATCTTAGAGATGCATTATGTATCTGTTATGAATGTAGAAGATACATTAATCTATCTAATGAGTTCATTAATATAGAAGATGCATTATGTATCATGAATGTAAATGATACATTAATCTATTTAATGAAATTCACTGAATGAATAGATTCTTTGATGTGAAGAATACTAGTATAAATAGTGTAAGGTCCCAAACCACATTCTTCATCACAAAACTCAATTTGTCATCACAAGAAGGCTCTCATCGCCTAGACAGAAAGAGAGAGAAGTGGTTTGAAGATCTTAGACAAGTAAAGAACTCGAAGATCAAGGTCTTCTATTCAAGGTTTCTCTATTGTCACAACCCAAATCCGCCCCTATGGATTTAGCACCGTAACGGGCCAGTAATTCGTGATTACCAAAGGCTTGCTTAACAGTAAAGACAGTAATACAAAGTAAGGGGCTGGCGGAAGTCAAAACAGTAAATAAAATGTGTCCAATGAGCTGTGACATTCTGAATGCAAAAAGACTTTCCTGAACATATTCATATTAAAACCAAAACAGTATATACATACATCATATACAGACATTCAGGTTAGGGACCAAATCCCTAACATAACAGTACAGTGCAAGTCTCAACATTTATTACAGAATAGAGGCAAAAGGGGAAATCTAAAACACCCCAAACCAGCTTTGGCTTTGACGCACTCGGAACCTCGAAGTGAGGTACAATAGTTGGCTTTGACAAAACGGGAGCTTAGCCTGACGCTCCTAGCATCGGTCCGGTGCCTCGACACCTACATATATATATATAAACAGTGAGCTAAAGCCTAGTGAATAACAATTATGTAAAGAGGTTAAGAATGAATGTCCTTTCAGTAATTAAACAGTCATATCAGTCGTTTAGAAACCATAACAGTCATATGTGGTACATCCCATAGCAAAACAGTACAATAGGTCTTAACAGACCGAACAGTCAGTTGATGACCATCATAACAGTAACAGTAGTGGTTCCAAACTTGGGAACCGACAGAGATCTCTGTGATAGTAGCAGTAACAGTACAGTAACATTAAGTTGCTAAGGATGCCACGAATATAGTTTACAAATAGGACAAACATTCGTTTATTAAATAATAACGTTTCAGTAAACAAAACAGTTGATCATTCAGAAAATATTCATAATTGAACATATCTTTATAACATTGTCACTCACAGAGCACTGGGCTATAAGCAGCTAATGAGCGTCCTCGGATACCAACCCTACACAGTTATAGAACGAACACACACTAAGTTACACACTTGGGAATCAACAACTTAGTCCCTATCTTGACTCGGTGTGGTTCTACATTAATATCCTCATTAAGATGCCTTAAACATGGCCTAGGAATGTCTAGGATGGAAAGAGGATACAAAGATGCACTTTAAAACACTTTTCAAAATTTTCAGAAAATAGGGGTCTCGTTCGAGCGTGGTTTTCTACACTCGAGCGGACATGCAGACAAAGGATCTCCGTTCGAGCATGACTTCCTTCGCTCGAGCGGACTGTAAACTTCATGAAAAGTACTGGATGCATGCATTCACGCTCGACGGACGCTCGACCTCCGCTCGAGCGTGAGACTCAGGTCCTCGCTCGAGCGTGAACTCTCTCGCTTGAGCGGACTGTAAAACACAAGAACTTCTGGGTACATGCATTTCACGCTCGAGCGCAACTTTCCACGCTCGAGTGGAAGTGCACGACTCAGAGGGTACACTCGAGCGTGAAGTCCTACGCTCAAGCGTGGGTCCAAAATCTAGAATTTCCAGATTCATCCCCAAGCACAAAACTCAAGCATTTAAGCCTTAAACTCGATCCTTTTGGGCTA